AAAATGTTGAAAACTTGGGACAACCCCTAAGTTGTAGAGATATCATCAAGTCACTAAAATCCTATGTTGTGTGCTTAATACATGTACGTGTGAATTGTGCTTTTTGATGGAAATGTGGGTTATTGTGTAGCGCTGGGTTTTTCATATTAATTGTGAAATTATGGCATGACGGATTTGTTTTGTTTTTTAAAAGGTTTGGTGATCAGAAGCATCCCTCCGAGTTGAAAGACCCCCACTTTTGTACACTGGTACCCCGGTAGAGCACTGAAAAAAAACCCCTGTAGTTTCATAAGGTGGGACATATTTTATCTCGGTCAAAATGAACCTACATTGTGACCCGTCCCGTCAACCAAAAAGAAAAAGCTCCAAAACATGACTTTTGGTCATTAAACTATGAAACTGGGAGATAGACACATAAAATTGCTGTAGAGAAAAATACAATGTTCGGTGCATTTGTGTACTTTGTGGATACATATAAAATACATTTACCAGTATGTGAAATGACAATGATATTTAGTTTTGAAGGGCTACATAATTACATGTATTACATACAATGTGTCCATTAATGTGCTTGTACATTTATGTACAATCAGGGGTGTAAGTGGCCACTTAAACTTCAAGCTACAAACAGCTACTTGGTACTACATGTACATGTAGCAGCAAAAAGCTGAAAGACAGGATCAACATCCAAACCAAAAAAAGCTGAAATCAGTTAAAACACTGAATTCTCTCACCCCTGGACAGCACTGGTACATGCACCATACATGCACACACATAGCATACAGTACATAGGTGTCTGTATAAAGTGAGACAACTTGTACTACATGTAGTTAGTATTGTCGCGTTCCACAAGGAGTATCTGCAACAGAGACAAGCAGGATGACACAATATATCAATGGCCAATGTCAATACTGCAGAGGCACATTCCCCTAAACTGTCGGCAGCTCAAGCAAATGGCGCGCCATGAAGCATCCCACTTGCGTCATCTCTGTCTGGCCACACATGCCAGTGCTGTCGTCACAAAATAAGCCCATCACAAGTGCAAGTGTGTACGACTGCAGAGCGTGACGTACCGTACCGTACCTGCCCAAACACATCGTGTACAGTTGGTACACGTGCATTTACAGCACGACCATGGACCTGATCTGTATCACTCAATAATGCATATCAACCTTGCATCCAGCCCATCTTTCTCCCTATTTAAAAATCCAATCAATATCTCGTCTGAATAATACGATTATCATAAACTTTACAAGCAAAAAGGCATCACTGGTGCTCCATGGTTGCTATGTATTGATTTGTATTGATCTACCTCCTGTGTCTATGCATTGTTATTAATTCATTTTTAATTTTCCATATCTTGCTTTTGTGGTTTTTATGAACCGGTATTCACTGCATTGTACATGTACACGTGTATTCTCTGAACCTAGTGTACATTGTAACTCTCAAAGAAAAGTGCATGCAGTTAAATGTAATTTGCAATCCAGACATTTATTAATGTTCTAACATGCATGTGTGTAAGTGTCTATACGCATGAAATCTGCACTGCGTGGTACAGTGGACGCTGCAATTGAAGCTTACATGTACATGTAACCCCGCAAAAATGACTGGGACAAACCGTGAGAGGAATTCACATTCACAGGCGAATTTCCCCACTCGTGAAAAAAAAGCTGTCAACTTTTTTTCCCACTTGTGAAAGTTTCCCCACTCATGAAAAAAAAAAAAGCTGTCAACTTTTTTTCCACTTGTGTAAAAAGGTGTGAACATTTTTCCCACTGGTGTAAAAAGATGTGAAGATGTTCCCACTTGTGAAATAAGCTGTGAATTTCCCTTTATACAGAGCAGAAGAAGGTGTGACAATTTTTCCCACTAGAGGGAACTTGTTTTCACAATTTGTGAAATGAATATCCATTTTCCAGGATGAGAAAAAGTGTGCAAATTTTCCCCCTTTTGAGATTAGCTTTCAAGTGTAGTGTAAATACATTTTGTCAACCTGCAAACAGAATCGATCGAATGAATCGATCTAGTTGAATAATCATTGTTTGTCAACTGGCATGTACATGAATCATTCCTACCTCCATGCATGAATATACCGTTCATGTACACTGTACATGTACAAATGTGGTGCACTGGTATTGTCCTAGTCAAGTGTCTGTATTGTCTTTTATGTGTACTAATCGGAAAATTTTAATAAGTACATGTATGGATGGATTCTGGATATTGATTTCTCCCCAGTCTATAATAAAAATACAACTGTACCTGTAGTCGTCACTATAATGACGTTGAACTTTCACCAGTGTCTTGCATTTGCATGTTTATTGTGTGAGGCACCTTGGCATGTCTACGCACATGTACATGTTGGCCTAACTAATGCATCAAATCGTTCTAAAAAAACAACCGCCAAACAAAAAGTATCCTCAAAATACTGCAAACACTATAAGCTTTAATAGAGCCGTTTGTGACGCCACATCCACGAATAGGACTGGACAGGTACTGGAACATGTACATGTAAGTGAAGCAAGCAACAGACACATTGCATCCCTGGCGCCTCAACACCAGACACCATTTAAGCTTTCAATCGTGAAAAGTGTCCACATAATGGCTGAATATGGAGGCCAAAAGGAGCAGGGCACTGAACCTTGTTGACTCAAGACGGCTAGTGTGTGCTCAGGTGCTTTTTATGCACTGGTAATGTACCGCATTACATATGAACTGGCACATGTACATGTACGTGTAGTTCCTTTGAGGACAATTGCAGGTCTATTTTGGGAACAAGCACACACAGGAAAGGAAGCCCACAAATATTCTCAAATCTCAATCTAAAAATACATCTTGACTGATACAATTCAAACTAAGATACCGGTACATCCATGTACATGTATGCAGATTGAACACCTCTCACGGCATGAGTGTACACATTCACGATCTCCTCAAACTACATGTACTGGCAATAAACCATATTAGCGCCGTCCCCAATTTCAGTCGTATTCCTGAACGTACAGTATAATTTGGAAACCCGTAATCACGGTAATGGGATGGTACCAGGTGATTTGGGGGGGGGTCGGAATGAAATTGTAGAATATAATCTGGTTCTTTGAATGTAACGTTTTCAAATAAATGCACTACGTTGGGGAAAAGACTGAAATTGGGGAAGCCGCGAAAACGGCCTATTAGGCCCACGCCAATACTGCACCAAGGCGACAGTTGCTTTTGAAGTTTTGTTGGGAAATTAATTCAAGACCAAGAAGTGGGGACAAAATTTGTCCAGAACAGGTTTGGTCCCCAAAACGTGTATTTTTCGAAATTGCTTGCGAGCATACTGGAAGCGGTAGCTGTCCCAAATTGTAAATAAACCAACCTTGTACATGTTAGTAACAGTACACCACTGTTTTGCCTTGGGTTATGCAGTAATTTTTGGCGAACAGCACTGGAATTACGTACAGGTACAGGTATATTGTGTACTTGTATACCAATGCATGCTAGATGCATATATGTACATGTACAGTGTACTGGGCTGTGACGGCATTGGGATCAATTCTTATCGAGGTCACTTCTTCGTTACATCAACTTTTTTGGGGGGCGGGATGAAAAAATACACCCAAATTACTGTACATGTACACTGTACATAGCGTCAAGCCCTACTGGTGACTTTGACTCCAAGTTTTTATTTCTTTTCTTGGGGGGGGAGGGTTTCAAATGTCAACGAATGTATACCCCTGCATGTACAGCAGGTATCAAGCGCAGATACCCAACACCCCATGCTGCAACAGCCGATTGCGCAGGAGGAGAGAAAAACAAAACCGGTACCCCACACCACCGGCATACATGTGCGTTGTAAATCAAAACCAGAATATGCCCGGTCCCCACCAGGGCTGCTCCGAATTCCAAGGATGTTTCACACGCTCTCTGATACAGCATGCACATACGAGCACGTTCTACATAGGAGTGGGCATTAGACTTTAAGCCCCGTGTCCTTTCTCTTTGCTTTGGTTAGAGCTTCGAGGACTCTTGATGGAAGATGAGAAGTCAGCTGATGAACTGTAGGAGCGACCACCCCCATGTTCACTAGCCCAGCTTAATATGTACCGGTATACATGTACTTCGGATCAGGAAGACTTGTTGCCAACATATAAAACAAACGCTTAAATTAAACTGAACTCCGAGAATGCAAAGATTTCTTTTCTAAGTGGCATCTGCAAGTTCATGTACTATTGCAAGGGCTCAGATTAGAACAACCCACACACCAACGTGTTAAAAAGTCACAGAACATCCTGTATGTACAGTGTCTCCAACTGAAGACATGCACATTTGAAAAAAACAGTACTGCATACATGTAACATTTGTTTGTACATTTAGTGGTTGCAAAAGTTGTGTTACACCTTTAAATTCAAGCATTCATGATTAAAAACTCAGAATTCATTAAACATGATGACAACAGATCAACAACGTCAGGTTCGATTCTGATTGGTTTAATGCTTCTAGAGCCTCTGTTGTCAATCCCTGTGAATTTCACCCCACACTTTCAATGGTAATAGGATGTCCATTAGATGTAAGAATGATAGTGGTCATATCCATTAGGGTTTGTTAATGCCTTGCTATTCCTGGAATGAGTAATGGTCAGCCAGTTAAGTGCAGGCCATCTGCTTGCGTCCTGCTGCCTGCAGGTGTACTTAGGGTATGCTCTACATGTGTTTGCTTGACCACCAGGACCATTGCAGAGCCTGACCAGAGCCCATAACCAACATGCTACATGTACATGTGTACTCATGTGTACAATGTACAGGTGTAAACTGTACATGTACATGTATGTAGTCATGCATCACTACCCTGTCCCCCCCCCACCACCACCAAAAAAAAAAACTTTCAGCATGCTGTTCAAGTAATGCATTTTTTCCATTTCATTTTCAATGTTAGAGTGTCATGTTTTAAAGGCAAAAACCACAAAACTATTCCGAATCAATTTACAAAATTGGAAACACATCCAGAAATCTTTCTCTTACCTTCTCTGAGATTTGCTCCTTTGCAACTCCAAGGAACAACATTTAATGTCTCCTGAGGTAAGGCTGACATTCTTTCCAACAAATTTCCTCCATTTAGAGATGTCGGCTGTGGTGAGAGACGATGGTCTTTGATCCCAAGCCACATTTTCCTCGATATTTGTCTAACGAGTAGACAGCTCTTGTCTGAAGTGTCACTCAGCTCTGAAGTACCCTCAAATAATCACAAATTGGTGAAGAACATTACCATGCAGGAGCGCCACTACCAATGGATTTGAATAATTCATGAGATGCTCATGAGTTAATAAACAGGCAGAATGAAGTTTCTCCGAGTAGACGGGGGCTGCTGGAGGGATGTCTGAGTCTAGAAATCCACGAGGACCACGTCGCCTCACTGGCTGACTGCTTCATATGAATCCTGGATCAGGCATTATAAATCCAAGATGCCACGGAAGATCCCATGAGCAGATTTCCCAACTGATGATAATTCAGAGGGTCTGGGAAGACGCACTTTGCTCTACGATCGAGTTCCTATGGTAACGGTGATTTGAGACGGCTCTCCTTGGTCAGGGCACACAATGATGGGTAGTGGAATCAGGATGAAAAAGATGCAATTTCAGGCGTGGGTGATGGTTACCGCCGTACGGTACAATCCAAGTGGTTGTGGAGAAACGGAGAAATAGAGGGGGGGGGAAGGGAAACTCCTCCAAGGAACGACGTCCAACAGCAGAATGAAGAAAAGGATCCGGCTTTTTTTCTTGGGGAGGATCTGCACATTCTGTAGAAACACTTTCTCTGTTATTGTATTACTCTGGAAATGCAGTGAAGCAGCTCAACAGCTTTGACAATAAGGCAACATTAGACACAGTTCCACATACTGGTTGCAACAGGTTGACAACAATGCACCCAAATTTTGTTCTCAAGCTGTCTAGATGTCTGAAGACGTGATAGCAAATCCCACATAGAGGAAATAATCTCAAAACACAGCACTGCCACAAGCAGTGAAGGCAACCAAGTAAATCCGTCACGACAAATCATACGGAGAAGGCAAAAATGTGGCTGCTGGGAAAATTGGTGAAACGTGCATGGTGATTACTAATCCACATACTGATATCTGATGATCTTGAAAGCGGTTTCAAGTGGGTGCCATAGAGTACATATGTCCTCTAGTTAGTCCTGACAGACGGTAATAACCAAGTACATGTACATCGCATACTAAAAGAATAGTCACCTTTACAGCGCATTCCCTGACGGTGTTTTGTACAAGGTGTTCCTCTGTGTGGACAAACTCAGCACAGCACGGTTTCTCCCTCTGTGCTACAAGCTGTGGATGAGGTGTGCACCTGCACGGTGTCATGCCTCAGAGTTTGTTCAGCACCTCACAGAGCGCAGTCACAAGTTAGCCCTGTGCGGCCATTACATCTTATTCATCCAAAAGAATGAACTCTCGGTTCTCTGAGGTTCATAACCACCATGCATGAGAAACAATACCTTGCACAGAACTGAACCTGGGGAAGCACCGCCTTTTTATGGATACAAAAATTTTCCAGCAATTTTCAAACAAGGGGGGGGGGTGTTCCAATGTAAATATTATACCAAAATTGGGCAAATTTTAACAGAAAAGTGGCATATTTCATTGAAAAGATTATCTCTTTCAAATGTTGATCAACTGTAATAGGAACTGTAAGGTATTTGGGGATGCCAACAGAGATGAAGTAAAATTGCTGAAATTAATTTTTAAAATATCTACATGTAATTTCTTGAACAAGTACCGCACATGTACATACTCGCACAGTATACATTTCAAATAATACAATTATAATGTAATACTGCATTCGTCTTGGTAGATCATTATTTGACAGGTTCACCCATGGTTCTACATGTACAGGTGTAGTTGGTTTGAGCAGTTGGTAAAACACTTGGACTGTGATCCAGTGGACAACGGTTTGAATCCAACCGTAACTACATGCCGTATTGGCTATAAACCTCTCTTGAATAGTACAAAAATAAACTAGACACTTTGGCAATGGAGGTGGAGTAATTAACGAGTGGAAAACTCTGCCATATGGTATTTAGATTACATGATTGGATAGCACTGAAGACAGTACACAGAACATCAACGTTCTGAAACGCTAGATGACATCAGCCATTGAGACGGGTTCTCAGTATTGCGTGGATCCACAAATCCACTGACTGTAGGTATAATCTTGCAAAAGTGCTACACATGCAAATCCACTGAATTCTCAGCGATTATTGGCTGAATGTATCTGACATAATGTGCCCATACTACAGTGCATGTACATCAACCGGTAACACTTTACTTTCTTGAGGTTAACATTAAGGCCCTTTTCCAATACTCAACTTGGGCTCCGTCTCAGGCTTTGTTCCCAAAAACCAATCCCCGATTGTGGGCCTGAAGCGTTTAAATTAAATTGGATTACTGTAATTTCTGGCTCTCTTGCATCTTATTTGATGTTTTGTGGCACTATTAGACTAATTACTGCGCTTACAGCTTCAATGTTAGCTAGTGAAAAAACAGTTGAAGCCTGAGATGGAGCCAAAGTTGAGTATTGGAAAACCGCCCAAGACATACCCTACTGGAGACGTAGGGAGATGGTTATCAGTCGATGATTGGGCTTGACTAGAGAGCAGAGAGCAGCCAATTTTGGATCCGCTGAGGCAATTTGATGGCATCAGTTGGCATTTGAAAGAAATCAAAATAGGTTCACGTTTGTGAACAACACAGCTGTCACAGAGACTGGCGTGCTGCCTACTGGTATTTCTGACAGTCATGCTTCGAGATTATTCTGTCACTGGTTTTGTGACTGTCCATCAGTGTGAGCTGGATTGATTTAATGGGCTTTTATCCCACCCAAAATGTGTGAATCTTGGTGTTTTTTGCATGCTTACACCAATTACATGTACAGATTTTGGCTGTCTCAAGAACATCCATGTACAGGTACATTGTAAAACTGAATAACTGTCACTTGGTTGAACTGGGTTGATGACAAAATCCCTCCGCTTCAACATAAATCTGAAGAATGCCAGTCATCATTCTGCCACCACTGAAAAAGCCATTCTAGAAGCGGTGGGCTGGAGTTAAAAAAGAGCCGCTTGAGGATGTGCTGCCAACACTTTAACTGGAATTTGGTAAATGCTATTACCATGTTCCAAGTTTCAGGCAACAAGGTCATTTGCTCTGGTGTGACAGTGATGGAATACACACAGACATGCTACTGTCCATTTCTGCCATTTTGATAACAGAGAATTACTGTATGGGGTGTTGCTGCCACCAAACCAGTAGAGGAGGATTGTTGGACTCACTATCAGGTCAAACTCAGGATGAGTTACGGTACAGGGTAACTAGTTTTTTTTTAAACTAAAACAGCCTTGTTAAAGCAAAAGAAATGTGCCTTTAAAGATTACTCATTATTTACGGAATAAAATCCAGCTTTCTCTTGGTCAACTTTACAGAAAAGATCTTCTCTCAGCATGGCCGGGGGTAATTTCAGACATGAATCTGTATTGTCTGGGTCGTTATTAATCAGCATCCCTATCACGCCAGAAGTCATCAGTGGACTAATAGCGTCAGATGGAATGCAAAATATCCAGCCCATCCACCGCAATTATCAAAGTTATCTAAACTAACCTGGTATCCTGCTGTGGCGTGTAAGATGAGCAAAGACTCAACTGCTGTGTGATGGTTCTACTAACAAAATGATTTCTTCATTTACTTCTTGCCCCCTGGCAACCCAGTGGTGAGGTTTGCTCAATAGGTAATTAGCTGGTTCCTGTGCAAAGTCTGATAGGCTGTTTCACTGTTAGAGCGGATGGATACCAGACGGACAGGGGTATCATGAATTAAAAAAAAAGGAACAGTATTGTGCATGCTGAACATAAAGGTACGTTGTCTATTTTATTCTGAGGCGAGTCTGCGTTTTTCTTGTGCCTAATACGTCTTTTGGACCGATTTACCGGTATCTTTCCACCAAAAAATGCTAGTAGAGAGAAGATTCATGAAAGATATGCACACAATTTTAACTTGTCCAGATAACAACTGATGCATGACAACTGCTTTGCCGAGTCAGTTGCGATTCCCACTGCCGGTAATATGTACGCTCATATTCCTTCCCAAGTACAAAACCTTGGCCCACCTCAAGGGATGAGGTTACACAGTTCTGCATTGCCAATGAGGCTTAGGACGTCACCCTGGGAATGAGAATGTAATGTGCCAACACACATCCGACACCTTGGCGGGTATAACCTTCGCCGCTCAGTGACGTTCTTGTCAGTGTTGCTCTGATCTCTTCCGTTGCGTGGCCGATTCGAGCGTGTACACACAGCAGTCGCAACATCCCCACCATAAGACATCTCTGGTGGGGATACTTACTATGCACATCAACCGATGAAGTCCCGACATTCAGCTCATATGATTAAAAAAATGAGCACTTGTTTGAAGGTGTGACATCGTCGAGATGATAACGGGGCTGGTCAAATAAGGCTGACTTCAAAATTCCTCTACTAGAAGTGTGAAGACACCAACGTGCGTTTCAAACCCAGTGACAGGCGACACCCTTACCAAACCTTAATTTACTAAAATACCAAGACAAACATACATGTAAATCGTTTCAAGGCAAGGTTTAGTTTAATTACATTAAATCCGTCCTCATAATTATTGTTATATTCCTTGATACTAGGAAACCTCAAATTGTGCGTATTTCTAAGTACATGTAAGTCACGGTAGCTGACTTCCTCTCTTCGTTTTTAATCAGTATTTATGACTGATTCATCTGGTGCTTTACCCATGTAATACTCCATAGTTCTCTTTGGGAAAGGGACTTGTCCAGTTGTGGACGAGAATACATGTATGTCTCTGTACACCTGTGCGAGTACATTGTAAATATTGATAGTAATGCATGTATGTACATGAGTAGAAGCCAGCACGTCTGTTGGAATTCTGGTTTCTGCAAGAGATCATTTCATCCTCTGTAGTGCTTGCAGTAAATTTTCAATGACACGCCCTCAAAACTTGAAACAGGCTTGGTTCTATCAAATTTGAGGGTTTGCAGATAAATAATGCACGTGCCTCTCACCTGGGATTGTAAATTATGTTACAAGTCATTAGTCCTGTGTTCCAGTGAGTAATACACAGGCATTAATCAAGCTCGTTCCAATCTAGCCGGCCAAGAGGCCCGTTTTGTTCAGAGACATAGGGAGGGTGATAAATGTGTTGAAGCTGGAGATCGAGGTGACGTGCGGACCGCATCGTCTTGCCTTAATGACTGTCATGTCTCGCAGATTCATACGCTGATGCAAACAGAAAACATGAAGGACATGTACAGGTTTAAGCCTCCTCATCTACTCGGCCTGTGAATATTTTTTCCTGTTTAACATTTCATTTGGCTCCTGGGTACTCCGATTGCGAGGAGACACTGGTTACAGCAGGTTCCCTGAGAGGTCCTCCTGAGTCTCAATTGGTAGATGACGCCTCTGCTACATTTAGGTGGTCTTGATGAATGAGGCTCAAAGCCCAGCTCCTCAGAGTTAATCCATTTGGTTCGATAGCTCCAGGGTAATGAATGATGCTGATCTATCAAACATTGTTCATTAGATCCCTTTCACATCCAACATTTCAGGCAAAGAAGTTAATATTATCAGACGTTCTTGGACCTGAGAAGCTTTGAATACCACGTACAAGTAACAGTCAGGTCCTTTCAACATCACTGTTTTTTGTAACTTTCACAATAAGAGACAGCAACAAGGTCTTCCCGGAGTTCAAAGGTGATTTTGAAATTCCTCAGCTCATGCAGAGATGGTACTAGCATATGTCTGGTGTAGACAATTTTATTTGATTAGGCCCAGCAGAGTTGGGACATTTGAAAAAAAAAAGCATATCTTTCAATCCTCTCTCCACCTAATTTCAGAAGTTACATTTAGAGATATCCTTTGTAATATTGGTATGCATGCTCTCATTCAAGCCAAATCACATTACCTAAAAATGAAGTACACAAAAAAAAAAAAACCCACAGTACATGTAAACACACCGTACCGGTAAGTATTGTGTAGGCCTACATGTACATGTATAAACTCCAAATACAGTAGGACGCTACTGGCACTGTAGCCATTACAGGAATGTTACACAGTTAATACAGAAATACCCCAGCAATATCTGAATGTTACAATATATGCCAGGTGGTTTGTTCATGTTTCAGGAGAGTCCATGTTGAACATTTCGCACAGACTTTCCGACCTTTACTCGTTTTCTGCAATTCTGTTCCCAGGACAGACTCTGTACATGTGTTGGCACCTGTACGTGTACATCTGACATTTAGAACCTTAGCATTTTGAGTACGTACGGGTATCGGGAACAAAGAGGTCATAATGTGATTTCAATCCACTCTCTCTATGGGAGATGATAATCCATGATGGCCGTCATGAAAAAATCACCATGGCAACGGCAGCTAAGACTGGGCTACAACTGGGCTCTTTAATATCTTTGCCTTCTTACATTAAAAGAGGCTTCTTGACCTTTGACCCGGGCACCTTCCAGTCAGGTACTCCTCTGTGACCATCCTTCATGTTGTCCATAGTACGCGCCATTTTAAAATACCGTTACAAAACCAACCGTATTTATTTTGTAAAATAACCCCCCCCCTACGAAATTAAGTTGCTTCAGAGGAGCACCTGACCATGGTGTAGGGAATACCATGACAGAATGGGAATCCTCATTGTCAAGTAGCAGTCTGCTTTGTATGAGTTTGAATGAGCCAACATTTCCAAAGCACATGTACATGTACTAAAGCACCTGTTGTATGGATACAGGCTGCACATGTACCTCTGTATGGGTGGCACAAAGATCATCACGCAGCTCATCGGAATGAGTCTTTCAATGGTGGCTGAGAGGTACCAGTGTCCTGCCATACTCTCTGCTTGCTTATCATTTGCTGACTGACTCATTTCACTGGGCTCGACAAGTTTCATTACACCCTTTGAAACTGGCTGGCCAGTGGAGCCCTCTGCATGAAAATCATCAGAAAAAGTTCAGGTTTGGAATTTGATCCAATTCGTTTGAACTGTCACTGACTGAATTGGGCATGGGTTCTTTAGTTACATGACACTAAATATCAACATACACTAGTTGCACTGCCATCAGTAATTTGTTAATTACATGAACTATATTAATTAGTAATTAAAATTGTATAAACTGTTAAAGGCTTTGCAAATTAGTGTTAGCAATGTGATAGAATCCACCAAATAAAAGGTTCATGTATATTCTAGAGGCAAACAATGTTTACAGGATACTCTTTCCACTGCAGCAAAATACAGGAATTTTTTTTCTTCACAAACTTGTCAAACCAACTTGCAATGACACTTGGATTTAGCGTGAATCCGGTCACAAAAAAAA